CCCAAACCCCAGTACAGATTAGGGGTTGACCTGCTGGAAAGCAGGTCTGCAAAGAGGGATTTGGGAGTCCTGGTTGACAACTGGTTAATCATGAGTCAGCGATGTGCCCTCCTGGCCAAGAAGGCCAATGGGATCCTGGCCTGCATCAGGAGGAGCGTTGCCAGCAGGTCGAGGGAGGGGATCCTCCCCCTCTGCTCAGCTCTGGTGAGGCTGCACCTAGAGTACTGGGCACAGTTCTGGGCTCCCCAGTGCAAGAGGGACATGGAGCTTCTATAGAGGGTCCAGCGTAGAGCCACAAAGATGATTAAGGGCCTGAAGCATCTATTGTATGAGGAAAGACTCTGCGAGCTGGTCCTGTTTAGTCTGGAGAAAAGAAGGCTGAGAGGAGATTTGATCAATGTGTTCATGTACTTGAGGGGTAACTGTAGGGAGGATGGGGCCAGGCTCTTCTCCGTGGTGGCTGGTGACAGGATGAGGGATAATGGGGGCAAGTTAAAACACAGGAAGTTCCACCTCCATAGGAGGAGGAACTTCTTTACTGTGAGGGTGACAGAGCCCTGGAACAGGCTGCCCAGAGAGGTTGAGGAGGCTCCTTCTCTGGAGATCTTCCAAACCCGCCTGGATGCCACCCTGTGCCACGTGCTCTAGGTGTCCCTGCTGGAGCAGGGGGGTTGGACTAGATGATCTCTAGAGGTCCCTTTCAACCTTAAGCATTCTGTGATTCTGGGATTTTTTATCGCCTGCTTCTACCACTCTTATTCAGGAAACCATCTGTTTTCGCTACTCTAGGTCTATGTACATTTTACTTATTTTGCTTTGCTTCATTGCATTGGAAGAGCAGTGGGCAGTCAGTTTTGCAGAAGACACTGTCATAAAACCTAGAGTCATTCTTTAAAAAAAAAAAATAGGTTTTACTTGACAGTGGAAAAACAAATGAACCAGCACTGGGTCACCTTCTTTGTCTGAAAGCTACAGGGACTGATGGATCAATCTAATTTATCACTATTCAGCATGACATTTTTACATCACTGGGATTATGCTGTATCACACAAAAGAAAACAATTTATACAATATAATTAAAAAGAAGACGCACCTTTTCAACATTAAAGTCTGAGTGAGCATTTGTGTCAGCTCATTAGGTCCGAAGTCTTTCAGATTGCCAAGGAAACTGTGGGTACTGAGATAGATATTGTTTGTTTTCCCACTTTGAGTCTGACACGTTAATTCTCCATTATACAAGAGCAAAGGTTTATGGGAAAATGGGACTTCTGTGCCGCCTGCCAAAATAACCCTGGATCCTAGATTCAAAGATCAGGACAAAAAGGAGACATTATTGAAACAAAATAACAAAAAGAAAAAAAAAAAACTTGATTAAATATTTAATAAAAAGTCACAACTGTAATGGTGCAGTTGATGAGCATTGATTTAAGCTCTCAAATTTTAACAGTCACCACCTAGTGTTACGTGTATATATTTTTAAAGATGTAAAAAAGAAAACCATAACAAAATCCAAATTAGAAGGATCATTTTCTGAAGGTTTGTAGATTAACTTGTTAATGTTTTTCTGTCACAAACATGGAAATTACTGTGATTAAATTTTTGGATAACAGTATGAGTAAGATTTGTCATCTTGATTCTAATATTTCTTTAGGAAGACTTCAAAATACAATTAAAATACAATCTGTAGCTTTCAGATCTAATACTGTAAGAGCAACAAGCTTGTGGAGCTAAGGCTGAAATGCCTTGCAGGAGTTTTACAGAGTTACCTAGAGAGCAACTATTTCTCTATTAATTAACTGATTAACCAGTACTTCAGAGCTTTAGTAACACTACTTATTTTCATAGGGAGTCATGAAAATTTTTATAAACAAATGCCAAAACAGAACGTGCTTTGCTTTATTAACTAAATAGTAAATACTTTCAAGTATTTATGGTACCTTGAATGGCATCCTTATGAAAGACGTAAGTGTACACTTTGTCATCATCATATGCAGCAAAAACACCCTTATCCATTGGCCAGTTTTCCCATAGGATTCCTTTAATAGTTGGTGAGAAATTCGGTATTTCATATAATCTATCATTAACCTACAAGTAACGCAGAAGTAAAATTAGTAAGTAAAATTAGTAAGAAGTAAAAAAATAGGAAATAAAAGACCAATGAGACGAACTAAATATTAATTCAGATTATCCATTAAAATAAAATAAAACAAGGAAGATAATTAGTCCAAAAACATACAAACTGCATTACGAAAAAGTTTTCTTGTTCGTGGTGACTTTGAATTACTACCTTTGTAAGTTAATGAAGAAAATACAAATGTTTTATGACTGATATAAAAAAGATATAGGGACAAGCTGTGCAAGCTAACATACCAGTATTTGAACATACAAGCAGATTCATCTCTGAAAATTACTGCTCAGAAATTTAATATTACGAAACTACTCTGATCTGATGTGACTTTTATTTCCTTACGTTATCATTAGGTTCTTAGCAGCTTTCTCTAGCAACTTATTCTTTCCCTGTACACGTTTGAGTGACAATTTTTTTTCACTCTCTATTAAAAGCATTATATAGTTAAAAGTACTGCTTGTAACGGTATAGATATTCCAAACCAGCTTACTGGACAGTAGACGAAGCCATCACTTTTGTCATCTATGAAAACCAATTTGGTTCCATTAGGATCTGGAAAAATTTTTCTCACGCTGACAGAATGCCGATACTCATTCACGTACTGCCAGTCTTCAATGTAGAAATAATGAATAACTCCAGTCTAACAAGAAATAACAGAAAAGTTATAACAGAAATAACCTTAACGAGCATCAAGTAGATAATTAATTTACTTGTAGCCCTCACAACTCTCATCTTTGTTGTGCTGACTGAAAGCCTGATGATACAGGTTTCAATAAGTTAAGATTCCCATTTAACCTCTAACCTCCTCATCACCTTTTGTGTCCCCAAATCTGATTCCTAAGCCTTTCACTAATGCAATATAATTACTTTCTGTTACTAAGATCTGTGTTTTGCAACAAGCATTAGTAATACCTTCTTGCTAATGCATCCCATACAAATACAATAGTCAAAGAAGCTGGATGCAATTTTGACTCTGTCTGCAGGAAGAATCACAAATTTTATCATAGAATCATAGAATGCTTAAGGTTGGAAGGGGGTCATCTAGTCCAACCCCTCTGCAGGGTCACGCAGGGTCACCTAGAGCACGTGGCACAGGACTGCGTCCAAGCGGGTTTTGAAGATCTCCAGAGGAGGAGACTCCACAACCTCTTTGGGCAGCCTGTTCCAGTGCTCTGTCACCCTCACTGTCAGGAAATTTTTCCTTAAGTTCCTGTGGAACTTTTGATGCTTCAGTTTCCGGCCATTACCTCTAGTTCTGTCGGTGGCCGCCAGGGAAAAGAGGCCAGCACTATCCTCCTCACTGCCTCCCTTGAGGTACTTATAGACACTGATCAGATCCCCTCTCAACCTTCTCACCAACTCACGGTCACTGCAGCCGAGGCTACTCCCCCCCTTCACATCTCCAGCAAGTCCCTCTCTATTTGTTAGTACATGTTAGTGTTTATGCTAATAATATAAGAAATAACAGTCCAAGTAATGCAGATAAGAACATATTACACCTAAAAAGATCATTAAAAATAAAAATAATACTCACATCTGTACCATATATTAGGAAATCACCAGTTAAAGCATGGCACAAAATTCGACATTTATCATCATCTGCTGGGAAAAGACGAGTCTCTCTTTCCTCCTGAGCATCCAAACTTGCTATTTCTATCTGAATATAAAGATAAAAACGAACAGGAAAACGCCATTATTAAAATGAGATACCAGAAGTTTGACCGTATCATACTGTAACTGTAAGGAAATGGTGTATCATCTAACATGTATCATCTGAAAACCTACTAACAGCTTCTGCCCACTCCCCACAAAAACTTCTAAAATAAAACTTGAATCTCATTATGTAGCAAAACACGTTTAAAGACTTTTTAAATTTTCAGTGCACTCGATTAATTCAGTGCTCGAAGTTAAGTGTCCTTACCATATGCAACTGGACTTTACCCTCAAAGAGAGCAGCAGCATAATCAGAATTAAGATGCATACTTGCTACTGTCCCCAGGTACTCCACATCTTTGAGCTTTTTTACATCTACAGAATTCAAAGAGAAAATAAAAGGTATTAATATGTTGTATAGATCTTCATTTTTCATAATCTGAATTTGCAGCTGAGTAACTAGGTGTGAAGAACTCTCAACTGCACAGAGAAAGGACAAGCCGCATGTAAAGAGGCTTTCTTGATAGCAAGCATAAAACCAGTTAGAAAGTACAAGAAACTCTCTTCCTATGTAGTTGTGACTAATGTTCTTAAATTTTTGTTAATCTATTTTGTTAAAAGGTGCTGTTTGGAAAGGTATGAAAGCTTTAAATCCACTGTCTAATATCTGAATACAACATAAGTAATTTTACCGTACTCTCTGCAAACTACATGGATATCTACAGAACCGAGAATTTAATCTTGGTGGTGGTGTAGTCCCTAGCTACTATGCCACAGAAAGTATCTAAAGACATGGTCAAATAATTTCTCACAAGCCAAGAAGTCCTTCATTGGTCAACAACATGATTCCTTAAAAACCTCAAGAAGGAAATTTCTACACTTCATAACTATTATCTTGAAGTTCTGTTTAAATTATTTACAAGGTCTTTTCATAATTGCTTCAGCCTGTGAAAATCACCACCTAGTCCTAGCAGACAATATGGCGATTCAAGATTTCTTTGTACAACATAAAATGTTCAAAGCTGCTAAACACTGGTATCATAAAACAAACAAAAAAAATGACATAGCAGTTTAAAATAACAGAATTAAAATTATGCTTACTATTCTCTCCAAGTGCATAAAACCAAGCACGATTGTTCATTCCTACAGCCAAATGATAAACACCAATAGCAACAAAACTGGGCTCTACTTCAACAGACACAGTGAGTGGTAGCTCCTGAAAGTAAAAAAACATACCAATTTCAATGCACTACTATTGTTTGTTTTACTTATATCTTCATTAGCTTTAAAAGCAACAGATTATCATACTCTTTCCACATGATTAGCGACAGTAACTTCAAGGAGAGAAGTGAGGTACGCAATCCGAGTACCGCAAGCATCGCCGAGGACTGGAAGCTTTGTCAGGAAAACGTGGAGAGATCCTTTTCGTGTAGATACTGCCAACAACTGCCCGTCGTCCGTCCAAGCCATCTGATCTACACCTAAAACATATACAAGTTGTTGCATAAAAATCTTATTCCTTTGATTACTGAAACCAAGAAGCAATTGCTTTGCTTTAAAATACCACAGCAGGATTCACAAGCAGGAATACACGTAGTAAGGTATTCACACCTAACGAGTTATTCATCATTTTGACATTAACTGTTATCACTCAAACCAAAACCATAACTTACTAATTTAGCAGTTGTCTAAGAGTGAAGACTTGAAACTAACTGAAATTATTACAGACACCACAACAGGAGATAACAACAATGGTAACTCATTACCCTAAAACGGTCTCACAAGAATGTTCTGCAAGCCACAGGTACAAACTCCACATATCAGGATATGAACAGATTAAGTATTATTAATATTATTACAATAGATAAAAAAGTGAAAAAAAGGAAAAAAAGATATTTTTAAATATATTATTTAACTATTATCTAACCAGTACATATCTAATAAAATATTCTGAGTGATGTACTTCTTCACACTTCGTATAGATAAAAAAAAATTGTTAAAAGTAATTATGCCCTCCGACCTGGATGCGGGTCACCTCCTAATGCCTCCAGGGAAGAAGGAATTTATAATTCATTCTATATTTACCGTTTTCAACAAGGTGATTTTCAAGCATGAGTACCTCATATAAGCCAAGTGACACAAAATTCTCTTTTCCCTAATGTGCAAAAATCTGTATTCTTATGGAGATTATTAGCATACCTTTATTTTCATCATCCAAGTTTATTATAGCATACATTTCTCTCAGGTCTGACAGATCATGGATTTTAATGCTAAAACGAAAATAAACAGTCATTCTCAATAAAATAAATCTCAGGCATCACAAGCTGGAAAAGAAACAACCCAAACCAATCAAGACTAATAAAGGAATGCAAAATGGTTCCTGTTTCCTGAACAGTAACATACACACACGCTCATTGTTATCCATCACTCTAAACACATTATCACTATAAAGGTTATAATATATAACACTATAGCATGTTTTCAAAGAAATCCAATCCCTGTAACTATTTCTTCCTTAATGACTCACCCATTTATAATTTTCACTAGATCACAGGTAAGACAAGAGGTCAGGAAGGAGGATATTAGCATTTTTAGCATACTCAGCACACCTTTAAACGAATAGTTGTCTTACTGCTAAAAGGATGTTTATGTCCAGTACACAGATCATACTAAACAGAGTCTGACATTTCTGCAGCCAAGTAACATACTAAAATGTCTATAAATATTACAGTTTCATTTTAAGGGCATTACAATTCAGTTATTTGGGGCAAGATTAGCCTCCCCTAAATTTAGGTAGAGAGGGATTTCCAGGAAGCAATTCGTCTCACCCCCTTCTCTTCACAGACTTCTTAGGAAGCCTTGAAAACTAATTTTAATGCTGAGCAGCTGAAGCTTTATCAGATGAAACCCATTTTTTATTTATAAAACTGTAACTCACCAATTATCTCCACACGATGCAGCTTTGTTCAGTGACTGTGATATAGCAATGCAGCTTAGATTATCCTTGTGATTGTGAGCTTGAAAGATTTCTTGACCTATTTCACGAATATGCGTAGAAATAACCACAAAACACCCTCGTGAGAAGCCAATCATAATGTAGCCATCACCATACCTGTTGCAACAACAACACCAAAAAGCAATTTAGAAAAAAAGATCTATGTAAAATGGTTTTTTTTCCCCCCTCAGACTATTGGGGTAACTGTCAAGTTACAGGAAGTCTTCCTTGTTGATCTCTAGATTCTGTAATGCCACTCTGCTTTCAGCAAGGAACATACATGGTAGCAGTGCTAGGATTTCTGTTATCTCTGGAATTATCTCATCAAAAATGAAAACTTCCATTTCAAGGTTTAAGGCTGATTTGGTCTCAAAGCTATGTGGAAAAATAATGCAGACATCCTGCCCTTAAGGCATTTCTGTGTAAAGACAGTAGAATTAACATATTTGCAATTATATTTGTGATTAGATAGTTTGTTTACTTTTCAGAGTGTCAAGTACAAATAAAGAGGTAAAAGAATTAGTTGCATGTAGTATGAATTCACAACAAATATCTCTTCTGCATTATAATAAAAAAATATATTTCAAGGGAAACAGTCCAGGCAGTGCTAGCCACATGGCCATAAGTTAAGAAACAAATAGCTATGAGATTTCTTACAGAGTTTCAGTGTCATTGATGCTGAATGTCAACTTCCCATTGACCGAACAGGCTAAACAAACTTTGCACAACTTTGTAAACTAATGAACTAACCAAGAAAATCTACTTCACTCTTTCAGTTAGTTAGTTCTTTCATCAATTTCTAATATATAAAAAAACAACCCTCCCCCCAAAATACACACGCTATAAAACCTTCAATTTTAGTTACTCACAGGATAGAAACAATATTACAGTTATAAGCCTGAATGCACCAACACCAATTACTTTTTGACAGCACTGTTTTTATAGCCATGGTATTGTTAAGTAAAGCAACTACAAAATGTAGACTCCTTTGTGGTTGGAAAATAAAATATTTAAAAGGCTACAGTATACCCAAGAAAATCCCAGTGTGAGCAAGGGATGCTTTCATTTCTAGCATTTATCAGAACTACAGAAAAATCTTGAGCATGCTAACATTAGAAAGTGGCATTAAGGAAGTTCTGCTCACCATCTGTATGTTACAATATTGCCATATGGCTGCTGAAATTTCAGATCAATTGGGTTATCAGGATCATTCAAATTAAAAAGAAAGAGAGTCTTCTTGCCGACCACAACACTTACCTGCCAATGAATGAAAAGGAAAAATAAATTCAGTAAGAAGAGTATCACTTTAAAATAAGTCCCTGCATTATCACTAAGAGATGAGATTTAGCATTTGCAGTAATATTTAAAATCCCATGGATCTGAATTCTGGAACAGGGGAGGAGAGTTTCAGGATACCCTCCTCGTAAGCCAGCAGTTGACAGGTCTAAGCACAAGCCCAGCAGAATTCAACATTTCCCACATGGAAGCATCAAGTCTGGCACCTTTCCTCCAAGGAAGAGACAACAGACCACACAGAGTTACCCGGTAGGTTATAAACTGTACTACTCTCCCTAGAACTATGATGCCTGTAAGATGGAAAGGAACACTGTCACAACATTGATCCCTCGAGTAACTTGGTGCCGATATAAAGACAATTCCTAAGAAACTGCCATTTCAGTGTGCTCAATATGCACTAAATATACAATATTTATGACTTAAAATCAACCTAAGTAAGTGACTCTTGTTTGAAGAAATCGATACAGAAGCTGGACTTCAGAGTGGAACAAAGCTTTGACTTTATATTCTTTCTGACAACAAAATATGTGTTATTATAAGGCAAAATTTAAATTCTTTTAGAGCAAGCACTCAAAAGGAAATTTTTTCGTCTTTGACAAAAATATTTGAAGGGTTTTATATTTCCTTCTCTTCCCACTCTCAGTCCCTGCTTTCCAAAATTTCTGTTAACTAAAACTTCCCTGGAACGTAGAAAACATTTCACTTTATACAGATAGGCAAAACCCAGGCCTTTGTCAATATGACACGGGGAAAACTCCTTTATGACCCCTATACTGTAATGATCTAACCTAACCATGAGTATATGAGAATTATGTTGCCTGTACTTTAGTATATAGATATGGCCAAATCCTAATACAGTAACTCTCTGCTATCCATAGCTTTTCCAGTTGTTGGTGTTCCTTAGCTGATCTTTTAATAATGTGCTCTCCTAACTGTTGCCATTACCTCATTTTTCTGAGCTTCACCGCTCACTGATCTGATAGATTGTTCTCTTGGGAAGAATGACTGAAGACACTGAAAATGTAGCCATTTAGAAAGATGTAGAACGCTCAGACCTTTTTCATCAGACATTTAGTCTTGCAGGTGCTGAGGTCTGCACAAGCTGAAATCTTTCAAATTGGTGATCTGTTCTAAAAACTGACTGCTGAAAAACAGCCTCTGAAAGCTACCATCTTTGTTATTTTGATGATCCTGCTCCTTCCTTTCCAATTGTCACATATATTTATGCTGTGTGCATTTGTTTAAGTTCCTGCACACATCTCCATCTATTACACCAACTACTATAGCAAAGCTGTGCAATTATCTGTCATATTGGTAGCTGTTGCACTTTTCATGAACACATCCTCACTGAATAAAGGGTATGGCTTTATCTCAAAAAAAAGTTTTGGAAAATCTTCAACCAAATATTAAGTCAGGGAGGAAAAAATATACTTCCCAGCCCACAAAGATGGCCAGCAGAAACCCTGAAACACAGAATCAACACACGTTGCAGTATTCTGTATCAAATTCTTACTGTGCTTTCCCTGGTTGAAATTCTTTCATCAGTCTTCATAACAGAGAACTGCATATCACTGGGATCTGAGCTCACTGAGGTCTGAAAGAGAACGTAGATTAGGAAGTCAATATTTAGTGTAGCAAATGCTGATGCTAAACAATTGTATTACTGCTGCCCTGGACATTTTAGTGTTAGGATGGATGGAAACATGACCTTAGTTTGGATCATAATGACATGTTGTATGGGAATACACTTGAAGAAATACCTAGGAAATAGTTAGAAATACAAGTCCAAATAGAAAAGGAGGCATCAAAATGAGGAGAAAATCTTCCAGGATATTATCCAGATAGTATTAACTAAAGCAATAAAAACAAATGAGAAAAGGAAAAAGCAAATCAAACAGAGAGGACTGAGAATGAGGCGAACAGCTTAAATATTTCCAACGCAGTTGAATATGGATGCAGCTTATATGGGTAGTAATAGAAATCTAGCTGGAGGAGAGCACAGGTTATTGCTTTTGTAGTCAGTATGAGATGACAAAACCTTGCAAACTAGCCTTGTTGAGGTGTCTGCTGCTGTGGCAGATTTCGTTATCTAAGCCACCTACTTTAAAGCACAGACATATCCTATATTTTTTTTTCCTCTACATAAAAGTGGAAGCTTATGAAAGATTGCAGATCTTTCATCTATTGCCCTTCAAAAACCTTGAGCGAACCACTGTTCATTAAAGTTCAAGAAGTCAAATACACTCACTGCTCCATTATACCACAACTATCTTTGCTTGGTGATATATGTAAGAAAACAACACGTTAAATTAGAGGATTTGAATGTACTTGGAGGAAGCAATGGAATTGACCTCTCAGTAAGGCAATGGAGATTCCATCTAAGAGAAATTACTGAACATGAGAAGCAAGACTCGTTTAACTAATGTAAAGCAACAATGACACTATAACTACTGCCTAAAGAACTTACGAACAGTTATGGGAGAGCTGTCCTGTGCTGGACCTGTGAAAGTCACCATATGACTCCATTCCTAAGACCCTGTTGCAATGGATACAGACCAGGACCAAGGTTGAGAGACGTATGTTTAGCCAGAGCAGAATTGCAGAGGTACTATTCTCAATCAGTGCCTAATGCAGTCTAAGATATCAGATACGTCCATGTCTTGTGCGAGTTTTCCCAAGGCTTCTTTGTTCTTGAAATTGTTGGAACTTAAAAGGCACAAGCTATCATAAGTCCCAGTTTCCCCAGACTGCAACTCTTTCAGGGACTGGGGGTATTACTGTATGGCTTGCAATCAAATGAAGCTTATAAATACTACCTGTCTTATAGTATCCCCTTCCTGATTGCTTATAGTAATGATTTTGTCTTCACCTCCTAGAGCCAAAAGGTTCTCAGTACTCCAGCAACCGCAAGTAATCCGCTTACTGTGCTTACCTGAAAAAGAAACAAACCTATAGGACATAAATGAACACAAAAGCAAAAAATACAGGATAGAGATAAAGTTTGTTTCGTCACTCAAACACAGACTGTCATGAAATGAAACAACCTAACAGAGCAATCAAACTCAATTCAGTTGTCAAATTTTTGTTTTGAAGTCTTTAGCCCTCTACTCTCAGATGAAAGTCTTTTCACCTTATAAGAACCTGTACAGCCAACCAGCTTCCCTTTCGTTGCATCAGATTTCTGGAGACTATGCTACAGCCTTAATTTTTCCACCCAGACCTAATATAAGCCATTAAAAAAAAAAACTTAGTAACAATCACCACACACACACACACGCACGCGCACCCTTTGCAAACTCTAAAGCAAGAAAGGTAACAAGTTTCTTATGAGGCAACACCAGGTACATACCATCTTTTTTAACAAAATAGACTATAAAAATATCATAACAAGGACAAGACAGAAGCAGCAAGTTGAACATAAGCACATTTTGAGTTGCATATTCACACACAAAACAAAAAGATGTCTAAGTGTATTAGCAAAATTCTACTTTCCTACAAATGTGAAAGCTTAATTTCAACGAAGTACGTACCAAGAACAGGAATCTTGCGGGAAGTTTGGCGGTTATATATAAGCAAGTTTCCCTTAGTCGTTCCAACAGCAAGCAAAGTTCCAACTCGAGACCATAACAAGACAGACATTGTATCCCTAAAATACAGAAAATTCTTACTTTGCACAGCAGAGATTCCATTCATGAGCTTACACACAAAATATTCTGCATATTTGTTCTAAAGTTTTATGACACCATACATTAAGCAGAACTTTAAAACTAAATTGTCTCTGCAACAAGTAGCAGATTTATTTAAGTTTGCATGTAACAGTGAAAGCAATAAACAGGTGTATGAGTTAATGTAATAAGACTTATACAAATGAAAATGTATCCATAAGAGTCAACATATAATCATGGGTAATTTGGCTGATAACAATAGTTCTTAAAAAAACACTGATAAGGTAGATAAGTGATAAGTTTCAGTTGCTTTTTTGAATTCTTCTTTGTACTTAAATAATTCTACGAATTCAACCAATTTCAAGTTAATTGATCTTCTAATTCCTTGACAAATTAGCCAATGTAGTAGGGAAACTTAGAAAGAACAATTTGAGGGTACACTGAATAACACAACACTACAGATTACATTTTAAAAAGCCTCCTAAGGCTTCTTCTATGCATACTTATTTCCATCAACATATCTCATATCTTTTTAATCCTCTTTGTACGCATACAATAACAATCCAAACCAAATTTGGGGCATTAATTAACATATGAAATGACTTCCAATAATTGTTTTGCATGCTGGGGATTTTGTTTGTGCTTTTTTTTTGACAGGAATTTGGACTTTTTCCACAAAAATACTTGTTTGTATTAAAGTTGTTTTAAAAGATAGCATCCAGAATGACAGGTCATAATGGTCTAACTCTTCAAGCACATACTTTTAAAAACACTTTCTCACCTCATGCCACTGTCTAGCTGGCTTGTTTTATTTGTGTTGGCATCCCACAGATAAATGGTACTAGATTTGTCTGTGATTATTGCTAAAGTATCTCCATCCTTATCCCAGTCCATTGCAACACAGTTACTGAAAGAAAAAAAAAGCAGCTTCACTAACAATGTTAAAATGTTTAGAAGTATACAACAACAACCAGAACTATACACATTTGAAGTCCTTCTTTCTCTCTCCCACAAAAACGCATAACAGACTGTAGATTTATATGGAAAACATATTTTACACCACATTACAACCCCATTCTTACCTAAATCTCATCTAAACAGTAGAAGCCGAAAAGAAGGCCATAAACAGAGGATTGCTATCTAGGTTCTAGAATTTGAAACACACAAAAAGCCCTGTAAGGCTCTATTTTGTCAGAGGCTGCTCTGTATTGGAAATATTGCTCTGCTAGCTCCAAAAGCTAATGAATACGGATAAGAAACCTGTGCAGAAGCAAAAAAAAAAAAAAAAAATGTTCACAAATATTTCCCAGAATTAACACAAGAGCAAACAGATGCATGAATGCCCAACATGCTCTACAAAATATTTTTGGGGCAGTATATGCTGCAAACTAAAAGTCTATAACATATTCTTTTCTTCCTAGATAAATAAATCCATATTTTCAGATCAAAAAGCACAGACATCTGAAGGAAAGAATCACATTTGTATTGGGTAACGACAGCTGCATCACGGGTAGAAGGCTCAGGTTAGAGTGGGAGAACTGTGAAATTCCCATTGAAAAGTGCTAATGGCACAAGGCCTAAAACACAACTGATTTATGTAAAAGCAAGAGAAGAGAAAAATGCAACAGGTTTATAGCTACAGTGACTTTTACCTAAATTGAGGGTCATGGGAGGGTGTGAAGAGAATAGAGAAAACAAAGGTTTTCTGGTAATCATTTCCTGCTGCAGAACTCTGTGTGCTTAAGTATTATCTGATTAATAGCACAAATTGAGTGAGTTTAACAGCGAAGGACTCTAGAATTGTTGGGTAGGCTTTCAGAAACACCAAGCATCAGTAATCTGGAAGGCTGCAGGAGCCAGACCCTTCAAGCCTTGTTCAGGCTGCTCAGCACACAGAGCTGGAAACCAAGCACACAAGGGGAAGCCCAAGTCACTTCTTAAATGAACAGGGCTTCCCTCCACCTGCACCAATCCTTGTAACGATGGAGGACCCCCAAGCTCAAGGTCTTTACACGACTCACCCCTGACACCACCTGCCTGACAGCCTTATTCCCCTAGGGCATTTTGGTGGGCAGAGCCAACATACGGAACATGCTCCTTATTATGGGCAATACGCACAAAATGAGCTGGGCCATGGATAGCGCCAGTGGGTCAGCTACGTCAGAGGCAGCAAATGGAAGCACAGGGAGTATTTTTTCCCAATCTTTTTGCCAACGTTCCTGAGCACAGCAGGAGTTTGATATAGCCCTTTTCATGAGATGTTCTTTGGGAAAAGGCAGCAGACTGACACAGCCCACACATGAAAAAGCTCAATGAAACGCTACAGCAAAATGCAGAGATCAGTAGGACACAAGCACAGTTAGTAAAGACCAGAAGAATCAGGTCTGTTAGTCCAGTTTAAGGTGGGAAACACCATGAATTCCCAAAATGGATTTCTACAAATGATTTTGGCTTAAAGCTAACAGTGATATAGGGACACCTAAATGAGACTCTGGAAATGAAAGTTGGACTTGAAAATAAAGGATTTAAAGCTTTAGTAGAAGTTTAGATTTAGCGTTTTTTCATTTTTTTTAATAAACACACAGAATTTAATGTTTCATTTCTTGCATACAAGGAGAAAACTGAATTTTCAAAACTTCCTTGATAGCTTCTATTCTTGATAGCTTATTATGAATTCACCATTTGTTTCAGGAACACACCTTGTCTCACATTCCACTCATGCTAATATGCTGGTCTTCTTTTCTAGTTGCATCAGTCAGAAGCAGTATCCCTTCCTATAAACCTCTCACATTGTATAGGCACTCCACAAGACAATAGCATTTTTAAAGTATACATTTCAAACCCATGTTAGTACCTACCCTGGTAAGTTAATTTCATTTCTCTTCTGAGCATGACGATCAAAGATTTTCACAGTGCGATCACCTCTAAAAAAGATTAGCATAAAGGATGATTCCTTCTGTTCATCTACAAATAATGGGTTAGTAAACCTTTTTTCCCACAATGAACTTTTATATTACAGTAAGGCAGCTCTAGAATTTAATATATTTACATTAATAGGGAATTGATAAATATTGTGCATTGTTCACATGTTTTCTCCCCCCTACTCTCAGTACTTTGTAGGGATATACATTTGTGATCTTACCCTGTTACAGCAAGGAAATTTCCCAAGGTTTTCTGCCAAGCAAACTGCACAGGGGAACCAGCCCAAGTTTTTTCTAATAGAGTGAATACTTGCTGGGGGACAAAAAGGAGGGAAATTATACATTTCAATATCATAAGCGTATAACAATATTACATCTACTAACACATGTTAACAATTATCAGTTCTATGGGGAAAAAATATCTGTGTTACAATAATGAACCAAAGTGCCAAAATTACACAGCAAGTTTTTTTGGTTTGTGGAGGAAAATTCTGATGTTTCCATTGCCAAGTGCTTGCACTGAGAACTATTGTGACAAGATTACATTTTCCCCTTATAGTCACATACACCAGAGCTGAGACATTGCAGGAGACTCTCCCCTTCATGTCCAATGACCACAACACAGATAGCACCAAGCAGTGACTCGGAACCCGTTTAATGAAACCCTTGTTAAGTGAACGCTGATTTGCCCGCAGACGCCCCGGGAGCGCTGGCGAGCTCCGGCTCCCGGTGGTATCCGCACAAGGACCCAGCCCTGGTGGCCCCAGCAGGGCGGCCGCGGCCTCTGCAGGCACCTCAGGGCCTCGGGAAGCGCCGCGGGAAGGGGCGGCCCGGCGGGGCAGGTGGGAAGGCCAGGCCGCAGCGGCTCCTTTCCG